CATACCATTACATACCATCCCATTACATTGAAATATCAGCTAGACTCCACTCTCTCACTCTCAAATCAACCTTTTAGACCCTATAAAACTGGGTTAAACCCTTTGTCCACCTGTTAAGCCACAGTTATCTTTTGATACACTCCACTATCACTTTATTAAACCTTCCAATCTGAGATTGGTGGGCTTGTCTAGTGTCTAGTGATCCAGGAAAGGCAGAGGTATCCTCATTCATCCCTTTCCACACTCAGCAAAAGGTTTTCACAAACACTTTTGAGCTTTACAAGGGAGTCCCCAACGTGATAGAGGATCCTGAAGTTTGGCAAGTGGATTAGATATATCTAAACCATTGTAGTGATTTTTATAGTTTATTTTAGTAGAATTTTAGTTAGTTTAGGCAGGAAAATTCCTGTTTTGACCACGTGACAAACCATATCTTTGAATAATCACATTCTGTTTAGCTTTATACGACTTAGTTCTTAGATATACCTAGTAGAACTCCGGATTAAGTAGTTAAATACTCAAGAATCAATTATAAAGTAGAAGACGAGGGGACCGATTAGCCGACGTACTAGAGTAGTTAGGATAAAAAAGTTTAACTACCAGGTGGTAGCCGATTAAAACTCAGTGCGAAGTAGAATACTAGTCTATGACAACCTCCACGAATCTATATAATTGAATAGTAGTATCATATTATTTAGTTTTATTAGTATTATTATTAGTTAGTAACCAAAACCCCCCAACCTTGCCCTGGATAAGAACGCCAGCGACATTAGTTAGAAGAATTTAGGACTACTACTAGAAATTATCAACAACTCAACTCAAGATAAAGCAACCAGAATCAGTTATTCTCAGTCATGGCGTTTTCTCAGGCTCAAGACGGACCGACTCTACCGACAACCAACCCAGCTTCAACTGGAATATTCTCTGGCAATCAAAACAATCCCAACATGAATATTGATCCACCAATAATACCACCTCTTTTACCCCCACCACCAATGCGAACAAGTCATACTCGAGTACGGCACTATCGTGAAAGTTATGGGGCTCATCAAACATTCACCAAAACGACGACCCAGCTGGCTCTGGGAACACTCACAAACAAACTACCTTGCGGGAACTTACGGCTTACTTCCGGACATTCAGGAAATGGACGAGCCTATGCCTAGGCCTGCAGTCATCATCAAGGAACCAGACTTAAGATATGAAGGCGAGAACTTTGAAGACTTTTTGGAACGATTCGAACTGGCGGCAGAAATCTACGGTGCTGGCGGCTATGACAAAGCACGTCAAGTGTGTAGATTTGTGAAGGTAGAAGAATTGAAGAAGGAATTGGAATCGATGGACGGATACGAGCAGCGGAACTGGACACTTCTTCGTGCAAGCATGATAGAAGTCTGGGGAGGCGTGGCAAAGAAGATTCGGTACACGATCAAGGACCTTTACAATTTGATTGATTTCTGTCAGAAGAAAGGCGGAATCAAGCAGCTGAACGATTTCAAAACTTATCAGTCAAAGTTCATGATGATAACTAAGTATTTGGTAAGAAATGAACATATAGTAAATGAAACCAGTGTCTCTCACCTTTTCTTTTTAGCTTTTTCAACAGATATACAGACGAGCATTAATCGAGAGCTAGTCAAGGCAGACCTTATTCCTACAGGGAAGGATGGTTATAACAAACCACCCCTCCTTTCGGATGTAATTGATGTAGCTGAGGATGAAATTCGAGCAAGGTCACTTAATGTCTTTGCAGCTAGTGGATTTGCCGAGGCCAACCAATCGATGCAAAGAACTCTGGACCAGAAGAAAGGCGACGGAAAAAAGCGTGAGAAGATGATGGACGACAATCCTCCGGAAGTACTTCAGAAACAGGTTGATAGCTTGGCAAAAGCAATTGAGTCACTCACAGGAAAATTGGAGAATCAACCTAAAAATGAATATTCTCGTGGAAATGATCGACCATCTGGACGACTTTATGAACCTCGACCCTGTTACTATTGTCATAAGGAAGGACATTCAACCATAATGTGTTACGAAGCACAAAAAGATGAACGAGAAGGACTAGTCAAGAAAGAAGGACGTGATTTCTACCTTCCTAATGGTGAGAAAATTCCATGGGATCCTTCAAGACCTATTCGGGTGGTTGTGGCTGCGGACTCCGCAAAACCTAAACCTCAGATCACCAAAGTATACAGAACCGATCACCCATCAGTTTTTGAACAACAGACGGAACCAACACCCAACTCAAACGACTACGTCTCATCAATGCACAAAATTGACTGGAATCCACCACACCTAGGTTCAGAAAATTTTGACAAGGTCAAATCCAACGCAGCAACAACACGAGCAGAAGCGCTCCGTGGCAGAAGAAAACCCATGGCGGCAAACGATGACTCAGCAATGGATTTGGACCCAATCGATGAACTTGAAGAAATAGTGGAAGAAGTGGCAGCCACCAGAAAAACGCCTGGACAAATTGCGGAACCTCAAGCAAAACCAACTGTTCAGAAAACAGAGAAGACGGTTGAATCAGCCTTAGTCTCAGAGTTGGACAACTTGAAGGGGGTTGATAAACGCAAGCCAACCCCCCTTGCGCACGCCAAACTGCACGCCAGGTGCAGATTGGCGTGCGCGCCTGCACGCCAAAGAGGATTGGCGTGCAGGCCTGCACGCCAGTCTGCTGCAGGGTGGATTGGCCTGCAGATGGCGT